AAAAACCGTCGCGTCGAGGACCGAGGCAACTGTTTTATCAATTTTTCCAACGAGCAAAACTCCTACGAGTCCCACGACCATATTTTCTACCTGTTCGTTTTATATTCATGACGTGTCTCTCTCCCTCTCTCTCTCTTCGTTTCTTGACTATGAATAAACGGTGTTATCGGATGGAAAGTCAAAACGTAAGAGACGTAGTATGCCTATGCAGGTGTATAAGCGGTTATATGTCCGGCTGTGTATACATCGAAAGTAGCAGCAACTGTTAAGCAGCACGTTAGCCGCTCTTACTCTATCGTTAGACGATCTCTCTGATGGAACACGTACAAATGTCACACAGCTACTGCTGAAATTATGAAAATTTCATGAACGAACCAATTAGCATTATTTTCGATACTACACGGTAATAATAGAAACAGTACCTACCTACTACAGTTCTTTGACTCTTATTTTCTCGATCAGAGAACAACTCTAATTTCGATTCTAACGACAAAAAAAACATTGTTTCTTTTTATCTCTGTTCCAGATAGTATCCGTGACCGTTAGCATACTGACCCTAACGTTCATATCGATAGATCGATGGTACGCGATATGCTTCCCCCTGAGATTCAAATCGAACACGGGACGAGCAAAAAATGCAATCATCGGCATCTGGGTGATAGCTCTTCTATTCGGTATTTTCCACGCAACTTTATATCCTTCCTCCTCTTAGAGCTACTAGAGCAAATAGAACGCATAAATCACCGTTTAGAGTACGGTTTTATGCAGCTAATGCCAAGATTAACACACTCGACGTGTTATTCTTGGTTACCAACGAGTTATGAGAAAATCCGTAACCACGAGTGTTCGCCGTAGTTATGCGTAAATAAATGATGTTATGCGTAGATATTCCGGATCTAGTGGTGTTACATACCACCCCGCCGCAGCACATCAGTGTGAAGACCATTTTGTTCACGAAATGTGCCCCGTCTTGGAACGACAGTAGTCAGGTCACCTTTGTCATCGTGAAGTTCATCTTTCTTTACACTGGACCATTACTCTTCATGAGCGTTGCGTATTGGCAGATCGTGAGAGTGTTGTGGAGGAGTGATATTCCAGGACATAACAGCTGTAAGCAAACCATCGCTCTTTATTTTCTATATGGTAAAGAGTTGCTCGAACAAATACAGCGAGGTTGTAAATTAAAACATCGAATGGCGGTTCTATTTTATGTAGAATCTCTACGATAAACGACAAAGAATACGATTCTGTATACTTTTTTCCAACGATTAGCTACTTACATTATCCGAAATTTATAGAAATCGTTGGCCTTCGAATTGAGAAATTCTTTAAGCAGAATACAGATGAGAAGAAGGACCGTTAGAAGAATTTTAAGCTTGTGCAGGCCAAGCGAATAAATATACATGCATGCAGCCCTGACTGTAGAAGATTCAGGTCCTTATCTTCTCATATTCCTCTCAATTCCCTTGTTAGAACACTCGAAACACGTTTACTTTGACTCCTGCCTGATTTTACGAGCTGGCTATATTTGTTCCACCGTGGATTTATTCTTCTCGTGAAACAGGCACCAATAGAACCTGCAACAACTTTCCTCGTCGTTTTAAACGCGACGTTCAACCTTTTTTCCGCCGAAGGCGTTTAAAAATGATCGTTTAATTTACTAAAAAGACTAAACCTGATTCACGACTGGTGTAGGATGAACGTAGTAAGAAAAGTTCGCGAAATGAATAATTGTCGTGCACATTTGCAGTGCCGTCACGAGCATCCCAGATGAGCGAGATCCCAGCTAGCGGCGGCGGAAATCCGGAGATGCAGCTGAGATCGCGACGGAAGGCGGCAAAAATGTTAGTCACGGTGGTCATCACTTTTGCCATTTGCTATTTCCCCGTGCATTTATTCTCCGTTTTAAGGTATCTTCTCGCTTATACGATCTATCTGCATGTTCAAGTAAACTTTATCCCGTTGTAAACCGTGTGTTCGAAACGATACGACGAACGCTCACATTTCTCTCTATTTTACGTGCCAAAAATGATCAATTTTACTTTCTTTTTTTTAATATTTCTTACAAGTTTGCCGTTTATTTACAATACTGTGACTTAGATTTTTGCAATAGAATAGCAAGGATAGCTCCATGTGCAAAAGTGAAAGAAAATTGCACTTTTTCGAGGATCAATTGTGCACGTGTAAGACACGAGCATGAACGTTAAGGGGTTAATGATTAGCACGTGTTCGCGTGTGGTGTAACAAGTGAGAAAAGAGGAGGTATTATCGTTTCAAAGTAAATCGATATACGTGTTTGTTGTTTCAGGTACACCACAAAGTTGCCATCGAACAAGTTGGTAGGCGCCATCAGCCTAATCACACACGGCCTATGTTACTTCAACAGCGCGGTTAATCCACTGATCTACAATTTCATGAGCGGTAAACGATTCTTCTAATTTTGTCTACCTACCCATCTCACGAAAATCCACATATTCCGCACCTGTTCGAAATTTTTTTCCCTTCTTTGTTTTTTTAACCGATGAATAATAGACGCTATTGTCCTTAAAATTTCATCGAGGCGCACTATTGAATTGGTTTTTCCCGTGGAATTGCCTCGCTAAAAACGCTCGATCGTGTTTCATTCGTGAGGAAATAATTGACAAGCCCCGGACGCGATCCATCTAAAGGCAAACAAATTGGAAAGGATGCTGACACGGGTAGATCGAAGTCCCGCCGCTCCTCATGTAAATGAAATCGTCAAAAATTGATAAATCTTTCATAAGATCCGTGTTGCACGCGTCCGAATCTGTTATAAACTGGATAGAATAGCGACGAGCCGGGGAGGGAAAACGTTGACCTATTTTCAAATTGCACGATTTTCTTTCCTCGCTAATATCTTCAAGTCCCACTCGTATTTGAATTTATTATAGGGTGACTCATTTTAATCTATAAATGGACGTGATTCAGAAAGCACGGGCATAGAGTGTGCTAGGGTGAAAGAAGGTCGAAGGGACGATAGAATATAAAGCAGATATTTGGTCGTTCTATTTAGATGTGTGAAAGCGTAACAAGTGGGTAATCTGTAATTTTTTCTAAAAAAGAAAAGGAAAAAAGAAAAATATGTGTCACTCTGTAAATTAGAAAAACAGATCCGTCTTTTGGTATCTGCCCGATTCATTACGGAATGCGGAACTTATCGAAAAGTTCTCGTCGCAACCGTGATTAAGGTTCACTTCACCGGCCATTTCTGTCTCCTTTATCCGAAGAACTTTGTAATTAAATGAAACAGTATTTCGTTGTACGAATGATAACGACCCCGATTCTCGCACAAACTTTTGCACTTTAAAACTAAATAACTACGGACGACGGGTAAACTTCGAACTCGAATACATCTTACGCTAAAGTGACCGCCATATTGTCGTTCAAAGAGTCCCCCCTCCCTTATTGTTAACTCGAAATTTCCCGATACCGTCGATGTAAAATGCAAACGTGGTATTTAAATTGCGTTTCGAAATATCGAAAAAATTCTTACGACTAGAAAAAATTAAAAAAAAAAATAAATATGTACGTACCGATATTTCAACTCGACCGAAGAAATTGAACGATTCCCGTGACGAAGACACGGATAGGTAACGCGAATGAAAATGGCGGGAATGGCGAAAGCAAAAGGAGATATTCGTCTGATTTGTAGGTAAGTTCCGGCAGGAGTTTCGTCGTACGTTCCAAGAGTGTTCCCCTGCGAGCCACTCGAACAATCGCAGGCTGAACCAGCAGCTCAGCTACGCATACATGGCGAACGAATATCGTTCCGTTCCACAAAGTCGGCGTGAACAATTCTGACACGCGGAAATGCGAGTCTCTTGGGTGAAAAAAGCACGCAATATCGTTGTGGAAGGACCTCAGGCTGAGAATGAATCTCCCCAGGATCGATGTAGTGTTGGATTTTGCCCCTCACAATCTCGATTACGTTTAGGGTGAGCTGTATTATATTTCGTAGTTATTGACCACATTAGAAACAAACGAATTAGTAGATCCCCTTAATATTTATCACACTTTTCACTTTAATTTTGTCACCGTGTAACGCGCACGTAACCCCGTTTAAAACGTAACGTTCTACTTTCGAGAATCGAAATTTGCTACTTAAAAATTTGATGCATCGAACGATCGATAATAATCGATAATCAATTGAGTTGGCCTGATTATAGACGGCGTTCAGTCATCTCTGTTTTCTTTTACCCTTTTTTAAAAGCGCCAATATTTAAATGCTTGAAATGTAAATGAATCCAATTAAGAATTGAGAAAATCGCGAGCTTAAAATAGAGGTCGATAGCGAAATATTATATAGCCTACCCTTTTCGTTAAAGTTACAGTAAAAATTGAGGTTGGACGTCGTCGACAACGTTAATATTAATTATAGCGTTGTACTTCAATCGAATTTTACAGCGGTTAACCTCTCAAAAGTAATAAGATTTTGAAATGACACAAAGTAGTTTGTTTGCATCGTGTAGTTGTAAAGTCTTACGGAAATGATTGGTTGATTAACTGGAATCTTTTATTGCAGGGAAATTTCGGAAGGAGTTTAAGCGAACTTTTCGTTGTTCTCGAGGGAGTAATTCTCGTATGCAACGTGGATACCTTGCGAGCTCGTCGAACCTTCCTCGAATAAAAGCTCGAAGCACGACGATACGAACGACATTAAAAAATAATAATAACGTTCAACGAAACACCGAAATCATACCTCTCAGTGCTGTAACGAGCGCCCAGCAAAACGAGAAACACGACTGACCGTAAGCGTACATACACTTTAGCAATTATGATTATTAGACGCGCAGTAAGATTCACAAGTAATTTATTTGCACCTAATTGGAATTTTAATATTAAGATATGCAATATTAAATAAATACAACAGAAACGCCATATTCCATTCGATAGTGGTTTAAGTAACAGAAAAACTTGAAAAAACTATTATACTTAGTTCCTACGTTCGTAAAAATCGGTAGATATCTTATCGTCCATTTTGATAAAATGGAATCGTTTGATGTAACGGAACATCGAGTAACGTTAAATGTGCTTACAATATTAATTATTACCGAAGAAAAGCTCGATGTTAGTTCTCGCAAAGCGTGAACTGAAATATAGGCACATGCGAATTTGTAAATCATTCTTCATAATCGAATGATTATATTTAGAACTATCGTGTATGTATATGTAATAATCTTCGAACGATACGCCGGATGTGCCGACAAAAATTTATGTAAAAAGTTTAATAAGATACATATATACTATTGCTATGTTATAAATATGTGATGCAAATCTCGTATGCTGTACACTACTTCTAGTATTTCATGTAATCTTGATGGAACTTATCTTTAATTCATTAAAGTTACATTTCTGCCGTGTACGAGGATCAATTCCACCGTTTCTACGATCTCATCATTAATTAACGAAAATTTTATACAAATCAATGTCAATTGATACATCTGTACGCTTGAAACTCTTATGCGAAAACTCAACAAATCGAAAAGAGGAAAATAAATTTAGCCATGTATGGAAAAAACTTCTTATCAATATATTATCTTTCCATTCCACCTTGCCAGTAACAAAGCATATCGGCGTAAGCGCATTTAAAAAAAAATATCGCGATTTCGACTTCTCGCAATTGGTGCCGGTTAGAATTTTAATAATGTCAAGTTTAATAGTATTAGTTTAGTTTTGTCTTAACTAGATTTTAAGATACGCTAAATTATGTAACGATCGTTTCTTCACGGTACATGCAGATCAAACATTTTCTTTTTTACTTTCATAATGTAAGTAAAATTAAAGCATTAAGTAGTGGTTCTTTATCTAATAAACGTATTTCATTCATTCACCGTTTACTTAATGAATCGCGTGTACAAACATGTTTGTACACGAAAAACATAATACATAACTGAGGTTACTGACCTGACTATATCCTATTTACAATAGCCGTTGTATTCAAAAGATATATCGATTTATTAACCATTTTACCAGTCGATGCTGCGTGCGTTAATACTCGATATACGATAATACATTTAACACTATTCACCTCTACTAATAATTCATTATTAGTAGATCTCATATATGAAAGGAATTTAACGATAGAGAACGATGTCATTCAATGATTAGCAGCAGATCGATCGTACTCGTAGCGAAACATTATTACAAATGCGAACTACGAAATATACAACAAAATGCTGGAATTAGATAGTCATTCAAAATATGTTTTAGACACACACATCCAATTCCTACGATGTTTCACAAATTACTTTGTGAAAGTTAATTTGCTATACAGATTGCATAGTAACTTCGATAAAATTACATAGCATTTTTATAATATATGCATACTCATACTCACGAAAAGTCACAATAAAGTCTTTCGCAAAAAACCTTACTGACTGTGCGATATTCTTTCAAGCTGCTGCCTCTTCGATAACTTTACTTTCAGGCGTCGTGTTTTCAATTTTGTTCGAATCATTCTCAGCCTCTTCTATGACTGTTTGCGGAGTTTTTATCGGAATAATATTCTCCTCATCTATTGTGATTTTGGACGAGTCATTATCATTTATTTCAACTAATTGATCTGTAGTAGTATCTTCGGAGTTCACTGGTGCATCGATATCAGGACTTTCAACATCTTTCTCATTATTCTCAACCACAATATTCGTTATTGCATTTAAATCTTCCGTATCTTTCTCTGTTTCTTGAACTTCCATAGCCTGTTCGGGTTGCGTGTTATCGAATTGCTCCGGTACAGTCTTCTGATCCTCTTCCACCGAGTTAGTTTTAATCTCTTGTTCAGTCTGTTGTATACCACCGGGTTGGTTCGGTTGTTGCTGCTGTGTGCTTCTACCTCTTCCTCTACTGGTTTGATGTTGCTGATTCTCCGGTGGTGGAAGAATTGGAATAGCTGCCTTTGGTCGTCTCATGGGAGCCGACTGTTGCTGTTGTTGTTGTTGCTGCGCTGGGCTATAGTAAGTACAGCCTTGTGGTTGAAATAGTTCTTGCGGCGGTGGGGGGCGCTGTGGCTATAACATATACGGAAACCAATACATATGGAAACTTTTAAATAATAGGAGATTGACTTACCTGCACTGGTGGACTATATCCTTGATAACTTTGGAAGTTTGGTTGAAATGCTGGTCCATTTGGTCCAGGAACATAATTAATTATACTAGGTGGGGCAGTCGGTGGAGAAATAAATTGTGGTGGTGGAACTAAATATGGTGGTGGAGCATAACTAGCAGGTTGACCATTCGGTGGTAATGGAATCACGGGTTGACCAGCCATAGGTGCGGCTGCGGCGGCAACAGGCGTAGTCTGTTCAAAATGACCTTGCGGATATCCTATGAAAACGAAATACGTGATATTGTATAAGAAATATCAATTATACCGATATGAGCAAACACATGCTTATGTAAATCGCACGATATGTGACACGTGTGTTTACAACCAAAAAGTAACTTTTAAAAAAAAAAATAAAAAACTATTCACACTTTTAAAGAACCCATTTTATCTTACCTTGTGATTCTAAAACACCTCTTGAATTTCCGGCTAGATACACATACATACAAGTTACATATTAATATCAAATAATTTATATATTTGCATTATTCAACCGAAAGTACATTTTACAAAGAATAATAAAAATATATTTTCAAATATACTGAAAATTTCAAAGATTTATTACCTTGAGGAGGAAAATATCCATGTTGACCATGCTGACCATGTTGATTATGTTGTCCATGCTGTCCATGTTGTGGGGAATAATTTTGCTGTCCCGGATTTTCTGGAATAGTGGGACGTTGTCGCAAACTGGAATAACGCTTCGGTCTATTAGCAGCACCATCTTGTTGAACCGATTGCTGTTGTTGTTGTGGTGGTGGTTGTTGCTGCATTCTCGGTGGTACCGTGCCCGATCTCTGTTGATTCGAGGACTGTCCGTAGAAGTTTTCTAAAAAAACGTGAATAAACAAGGTAACAACATACAAATTATATTTCCACATGAATCAAACACTTACTGTTATGTCTTCCACTTTGATGATATTGAGTACCATCGTTAACGCTCATATGTTTCATGTCATGAGTAATTTGCTGTTCATCATCATTTTGTATAGCATTATTTCTCTTATTCTCGGCGGAGATTGGTCCCGCTCCGCGGCCCTTTGGTTTGGTCTCAACTGCTCTATTGGTGACCATATTGTTATTAGCGTTTGTTCGGAATCCTCGTCCACGAGTTCTACTCGCTGCCAAGCTTACAGACTCTTGAACGTTCCTCTTGTTATTATCTCTTGGAGATGTTTTTGTATTAACCAATTTTTCTGCATCACCACCAGCTCCAGTATTTCCATTACTACTCTGAGTATTGGGTGAGTGTTTAGTGTCCTTTTTCCAGGCTGGATTTGTAGGTTCATTAGGAGCTTTGTTTTCATTTCTGTGTATTAAAATAGGAAATATAATTTATCCCACATATTTAAGTAAGAAAATTCAATACTTTAAAAAATATTACACACGTGTGGGTATTAGATGTACTGCTAGACTTTGTTTTTGGACTATCAGTCTGAGCTTGAAGAGGTGGAAAGTTTTGTACTTTATTTTGTGTTTTATTTTTACTACTGTACCAGGCTGATGATATTACTGGTTCCTCTACTTGTGGGGAAGCATTTTTATTAGTTCCTAAAGCAGGAAAATCTTCACCACTTCTGTTAAACCTTCTATTTTTATTAGTAATGGTACTTCCAGTTTTACCATATGCATCTTCATCCTCCCAATTACGTGTATACTTATTAGGGCCACGACTAAAAAATATAAAGTTTATGCAATGGATTATTACAATTACTAAAAACACTTTAAAATCAGAAACCTACCCATATCTTCTTCTTCTTCTAGCTCTAGGTGGACCTTCTTCATTTCTTATATCATAGCCATAAACTGCTATTAATTCTTCATGGCTCTTTGGTGCCTGTTCCTCATCATTATATCGATCATGATCCCATCTATCTTCTTTGTCTTTCCACACCTTTTTTTCTTTGGTTTCTCTCTCATTTTGTGACTCTACAGCAATGTCTGCCACTTCATCTGTGGTTCTGTCATCATGCTCATAAAATGTCCCTCTTTTAGGAATATATTGTGGATTACGTCTGTCTTCATCATCATCCAATTTCTTTTGTGGTTTCTCTTCCTCCTGGCCATCTCCACTTTCTCGTAATGCTCCATCTTGAGATTCAGCATCAGAATCAGAAGGATAAATATCACATTCTGAATCTTGATGACCATCAGTTTGTTCACTGCTCTATGGAAAAATTGTATAGAGAAAGTAAAAAAAGAACAAAAAAGTAGAATTGCAATAAATTAATCAGTCTTCCAAAGTAAGAAAATTATTATTAGAATTGTTTTATGAAAGTACATTTCATTTCAATTCAGTGCAATGAATAATTCCATTCTTTCTATCAAAATTGTGACATTCGCGAGACCACTTGCCGGTAAATCGAACACAAAGGAAAGTTACGTCCCTAGTTACGATAATACTCAGAAGTATTACAGCAGTCTACTTAATCCACTTAATCGGGTCTTCCACCGGACTTTCGATCCAGTTCAACGAAAGACAAAAAGTTCAATAAAGACTAAACGTTTAAAAATCGTGAAAAAGAAAGGAGAACCATACGCTTCGATTCTTCGAAATGCCTAATCGAAAACACTTTTGTAGCAGCTAACCTGGGTCTCTTTCGTAGCGTTTAATTCTTCACCAGAGTCCGAGAGGTCATCCGAACCGCAAGACTGATTAGATTTTCGACGTCGTCTTGTATCCGACATGTTATTTCAGCTAGAAGTGCACGTTCCCGAATTATCACAAATTTTCTTCTCCAAAATGTGAACAAACGATCAACGCCAGATGACTTTTAAGGTCGAACTAGTTGATACCTATTTCTACTTCGACAAGTTCCCGATCCCGATTCTCGGTCACGAATCACAGACTAGATGTATCACAATCGAGAAGGCACACCAGACTCGCGAAATTTTAGCAGTAGAAACGATTTCATCGGATCGCTGTCAGATTACTCAGTAGCAATGGCGGTTCTATAAACTTTCAAACAGGAGATCCCTTCTCCTGGAGTGCGCTAAACGGACGGTAATTTAAATAAAAAGTATCTTACTAGATTCGTTTGGATAGTGCCGTTATTTTGTAAATTATATAATCCGCCTAAGAAAGTGTATTTTAAATAGAAAAAATGTTAGACAAAATCCAAAAATGCAATATAATCAATTGCCGCGAGATTTCGAATTTTTATGAATTGTAAACGCCACCTGCAACCTTTTTCATACGGTATATTCATACGGAGCTTTTACTCGGTCTTTCCTAGATAGGATCGTACAACAACATTTGGGAACCCTAGGGCTGAATTTTAAAAACAAAATTGTCCCGCTACATAGGCGTATGAAACAAATTCAACCCAATATAAAAAAACATCGTAATAAACAATTACATAATTTTATCCTTAAGTATTATCTTTCATGCATTTATTCGATTGTATTAAGTTGAACAATATAATTGGCTGAAAACAGAACCACGTACACTGTTCACGTGGTATAATATTATTGGTATTTGGATACAATTGGGGTTAGTCGGAGAATTGAAAATTCCGTAAGCATAGTGTCAAACTCGAAAGAAAATCGTTTCGATAAAAACACTGGAACGTTTAAGTGCTGTAAAGAGTAAAATTTAAGTTATTTTGGAATGAAATGCACATATACACTACAGTGTCTCCGTTTAACGCGTTACAATAAATATTCTTTAAACTATTCCAACAGCAAAACATAACATAAACGTTTTAAGGTAGATATATTACTGCCGTCGCAAATCTGTAAATATCGCATATATACTTTAATTAAAGATATGGTGAAATAATTCCAGTTTTATAAAAATGTGGAAACAGTGTGGCATTTATAGTGTGTTGTGCATCGTAATTACTGTTGTATATGGACACGATTTCAGAAATTTCGATGATACTGTTCTCTTTAAAATTAATTGGCCGGGTAAACCTAGTTCAGATTTATTAGTGAGTATAAGTAAAATGAAATGAGGAGTATATAATTTAATATTACTCAAATCTTTGTTCATGTTTACATATTTTTCATAGGAGTCAAGAGCAAATGTAGAACCTTATTTTATAACAACTGCAAACAAGGAACGGTATCAGTGTTTAATTGTTGATAATACAGAACAGGAACAAGATTATAATGAACCATACAATGGACAAAATCCAATAGAAATTTTATCACTATTATTCTTACAAAATACTTGCTCTTACAGAGTATGTGTCACAGATATCATAAATGCATGCTGTTAGTCATATAAAAAATGAGTTTCATATAAGATTAATGTATATTTATACAGGTTGATTCATATTGGTCATATGAATTGTGCCATGGACGATATGTGCGTCAATTTCATGAGGATAGAGATGGAAAAAAGGTGAAAACACAAGAATATTATTTGGGGACCTTTGATAAATTACAAGGATCAAAACTTATGGCAGAATATGCAGAAAGAGAAGCAAGTCCTACTAGAAAAGCAGATATACCAGTTAAAAAAGTTGATGGTATCAAGATGCCATATGTTGAAATTGAAATGACTGATGGTACCTCCTGTGACGTGACCAACAAAAAACGAAAAATAAAAGTTTTATATGTTTGCTATGAACATGGTAAACATGAGCTATTTTCACTAGAAGAACCTTCTAGCTGTGAATATGAAGTTGTTGTCCTTTCCCCTTTGTTATGTAGTCATCCTGACTATAGACCACAAGCCACAGGAGAAAATGAGATTAATTGTCATCCAGTTGATAATGCTCCAATGAAACCAAAATCTCTTGTTGCAATGGAGATAGAAAGTTTGAAACTTCGGTATCAAAAAGTCACGGTAAAGCCATCTTCTATGCGTACTTTGTATTCAGTTATTTATTTCTGACTCTGCTAGTGTCGTATGTATATAATATCGTTATTTAAAATAAAATATGTTTACTCATATAATTTTTGTGTATAGTAGTAATACTTTTTGTTATTTATATATGTAAACACATGCAAGATGTTTTCAAATAAGAATAGTTCCTAAGTATGCTGAAGATATTGTGCTATGCACAATATGCACTGCATAATGATAGGAAAATGCTTTGATCAATATCAAATTTTTTCTGATCTAACTAAGCCACTTTAATTCGATTAAACTTCAAGATTTGAATGTAATTTTGGCTTGTACACTTAAGCCACACAGTTGTTTTAGCTTAGCATTAAATAATTAATTTTTTATTTGTTACTTCGGATTGTTTATTATCTACATACTGAATTAATTATTTGTTGCACAGGATGACAAGCTGCAGAAAGTCTATGCGATCTTCCATGTAGATAAGGAGGGCCAGGTCAGAATATTTTGTGTTTTTGGGATCAGGCCAAAGTGCTTGGTGGTCTTGTCACTTGTTGCCATTAATTTGTATCTCATTCTGTCCCTTCCTTTTCTACATACAATTATTTCCTTTAAAGCTATATATTTTCTAAAGGAATGATATGTTAATATTCTGAATTCTATTTATGCACTATTGTATCTTTAGCATCACATCACCCTTGCTTTTCTTTATCACAGCCAAACTTGTAGTATTTCTAATATTTATTATTTTTTGCTTACATGTTGCTTATAATTAAGAACAGCTAGCAATAATTTATCATAAAACGTCAAATGATGCATATATTTTCAGAATAAGTACAAAATATTGTCATATTAAAATATTATAAAGTTACAATTTAACGACAAATAAAATGTACTTGATTCGTTAGTATCGTGAGTTAAAAGAAGGAATGATGTGTAGCGCATTCGTATTTTTAACAAACTCATACAATTGATATTAACATTGGCAGCAATTGTCGCGAAGATATTCGCATCCTGCGTATTTTAATTGATAATTTAATTGATTTGCATCCATTTCAGGATGGTGAAGGGCATTTTAGAGTTGAAATACATCGGGTCGGTGTTGACAAACAGAATAATATCGAAGATTCTATAAATTCGTTAGCAGATCAAGGTATTAGTCCAGCGGAAGTAAGTCCAGTAAAAACGTTCTTAAGTGGCAAAAGTTGTTTGCGTGGGGTAAGTATTTGACTTTTGGTCATGTATACTAATTATATTTGATTGAATAATATACGACTAATACAAATAGGGCAATGGATGGTGGAAGTATGAATTTTGTTATGGACGTTTTGTGGTGCAATATCATATTGAACGTGATGGTAAAAATACTATAGTAAATCTCGGTAAATTCGATAAGCAGAAACATTTAGAATGGATCGCTGCACATCCACATAAAAAGCCAAAGTCACCGGAATTACGAAAACAACTTTCACATTTTTATAGCGATGGTACTATTTGCGATAAGACTGGAAATCCGAGGCAAACGGAGGTATTACATATGCACAAATAAATAAAGAATTTTCTAGATTTTGTAACGTGAAAAATAAAAAATTCTTTTCCAATTCTTTGTAGGTGAAATTGAAATGTATTGAAAGCCATACGGCTAGTCCATCAAGCGTTTCTTTATTTTTGCTTGAACCAAAAACATGTGAATACGTTCTCGGAGTGGAATCGCCATTGATCTGTGATATTTTAGAATACGCCGATGAAAATGGACTTCTTAGTGAAAAATTTGAAGTGAATTTCGACAAATTGAAAACAACCGCTTTCCACGAGTACGATGATTTGGACGAAAGGATAGCAAACGGAGACGACTAGAATGGCATTAAATTAACAGATACTAGTTGGCAAAATTTTAATGATACAAGTGACAGTATTAGTTGGACACTTGCATTTAATTTCAGTTAATTAAATAAAAAGTTTGAGTTCTTTTTTTTTAGGATTCATTGTACGGCAAATACAAGATTGCTGTGCTTCAAAGTTTTCACATATTACATAATACTTATATAAGCATAACAGTTGTTTAAAACCTGTAGTGCTCTTTACATATCGTCACGAATTATGCGGTGATGAAGATTGTGACGTATACAAATGGTTTTTCACTCTGTAAGATTTTGAAAGAAACAATTAAAATCGTTTTACGTTAACATATGTATCACTCGAATTGATTCCAATCATTTTTACAAATGATACAAAAAGAACACGATGTCACAGTTACATGTGTCAAATTCATGTGATATATTCGTTATCATTGCCCGATATTGAGACCAATGCCCACACGAAATTGCTGTTTATTGTGGTTTAAAAGTCCACTGATAATCAACGAGGATTGTGGGATGGGATACAATTTCTTCTCGAATAAGCCACCGACTGTACTCTCAGAATTTACGATGCCTCGGAAAATAAGATCAGCGTACGGCACATTCACTTGATAAACTATGGTAGCGATCGAATGATGAGTTCTCGTGTTTGTTTCTAACTCAACACCAAGCTCTAATTGCGAGCTGGCTTTACGATGATAACAAAGATGAAGACCCGCTTCACCTAATGTTCCTGATAACGTTATAGGCCCTGTACTGTATCTAAAGGCCATGCACATGACCGTCTGTTGATCGCCTAGAATTTTTGAGCCACGAAGACATGCAATCTCGCATCCTAATGCTATCCTCGATGTTATCGATTGTAAAAAGTGCAACACCACTGTTCCTTGTTTCATCATTATTCTTGGATTGGCTAGAGTCACCGCTACTGTGAAGTCGTTCGAACGATATTCCAAGCTAGAACTCGACGCTTTGTATTTTCCATCCGCAACTTGCGCGGATAATTTGTATCGTAATCTACATCCTAGCGTGTGCACGAACGAGGCGGACAAGTTTCCGTTTGATGAAATGTCTCCTATAGCTACAGGGTATCTTTCGCTTAAGCCTACCATTTTTGTACCGACATATTTTGCGCCAAATTTGTATCCAGACGGAGTAACAGAGCTGAGAGTTATGGAGTGTGTCACGTTGAAATGTTCACTGAGTACTTTATTAATATTGAGACGTGCTCCTTCGAAGTTTTGAGGATAAATGTCTTTCACCTTTTTGTGAAGATCTTCGAAGCTTCCTGGATTTCCTGGTGATTTGTCTTGCGGTTCTCTGCATGGTATACATTCCTCGTCGTTGGTTACTACATTTTGTTCTTCCTTTTTATTTGGTGATGCGTGTACCATGCCCATTCTGATACATTAGATCCTTTTAACATGGAATCGAAAAATTTTGTTCGGGTGCTGGTTAATTTTGTTCTTGACGAATACATGCGCGTGAAATTAATCCTAACGTGAGCGAGTTATCATTTGACCTTCCTACTAATTTCAAACTCGAATAACCAACATATACGATAGCTGCGATATATCGATACAACGTAGTCGATACATCAAGCCTCGATTAACGACGCTATATTAGTACTCATACTCCGCCGATAGATGGCTTTCAACTGCACTACACACTACACGTTTCTCGCAAGTTGTTAGTTGAGCTTCGGTTTGTATATATACAAAAATCAAAGCGTTACTATTGGAAGTGTGTGCTAGTGATGGCACAGCTGAACATTGATCGCTAAACGTAGAAATATGGCAGATCTGCTCAGTGGGTGTTGTCACGTGGTCGCTTTCAAGTAGCTTGTGTGTTCGGCTCCCGATTGCGCGTGCAAGCTCGTGGTATTTTAATATACCTCGGATTTGCACGCCTGCACGGTCGAGTCTTCACGTCGCTCCTCGAACTACCGCGATTTCCAAATTGGGGGGCAATCGAATAAGGTCAGACCGAGGTTGTAATTTGTCGCTTCCATATACACAGGCACTGCAGATAAGCAGTATGCCATGTTTTTTTTAATTTAAAAAACTATTTCCTTAATACCGGTAACCACTATTTATAAAATGATTTAAATAAATGGAAAAACAGCATTTATATGTTTTATCACTTGTATATTAAAGATATTACACTTATGAAATTTATGCAACAATTTTCTTCTGCACTTCGTTGTTTACTTCTGAGGAAACCTGAGTGAAAAGCAAATTCCAATTCCATACTTCATCCGGTTCCTTTGTTAAATTTTCATTGTACAGTTTCTCTGCGAGGAGGGAAAGATTAACACCATTCAAGGATGTGAATGCAGCGTTTTTTACCAAGTCCGTATCCAGTTCCTTGTACGCGGCGACTCTGTTCACGTTCACCCTAAGAGATGTCGAATTAAAAATGGTAGAAAAAAAAAAAAGTTTCGTGAAACTTCTGCGGTACCTACGTTGGTGTATTTATATCAGACAAAGCATTATCCTCTTGAATTTCGTCTAAATCTGGTATAACAGGAATATCTACAAACAACGTACAATTCTATTAACCTTAAATTTTTTACACTTGTATTACCTTTAAATAAATTTTTACCGTCTATCTTTTCATCCTTCTCCGTCCCTCGCGAGCGCTCCCTAAGAAATAGTCCATCAGTGACTATAGATGTCAGATTTTTTAATTATATTCGTTATACTCACTGTTCAATGATATTAGGGGCTCCTCGGGATCTGAAATTTAAAAAAAAATACACAAACGAAAGTTAACGAAATGCATATCTACATCCGATAGAGGAATTCACTGCAAAACAACTGACTTCCCGGTTTTCAACTCGTCACCCCATCCAGTTTTCCTAGTACGTGGTGGTGCTACTGGTGGCTTCGTCGATTTCCCGGTAGATGACGACACAGGACTTTCCAAAAGATCGTCGGTCAACTTAGAATCTTCTTGAACGATGTTGTGCGTCGATCTTCTACCGAGGCGAGGTAAAAGCTGAAGACAGATGTATCTTTTCAAACAAACGATACATTGTAAGAAATTTGTAAAATACATAAATGAAAGAAGCATTCAATTGCTCACTCGTTTCGAGGTGTTCTCTAAATCCGTGGCCCAATCCATGATTGTCCATCGAGCCTGAAGATTAAAGGTAAAGTGGAGGCGAACAGAACCTGTGTTTGCGACCAGTAACCATAACAACTGAACGGTCCGGCACGCGCGGTTGAATCGACTTTGTTGGTTTCGCCTTTTGCTCCCCTCTCTCGTTCTGGAAGCAGTGCGAGAAACGTGACTGGAAACCGGTTTCAGGTTCTTCACGTTTTCCGATTAGGGCGCGTCTTTTTGAACGTTACGTTAAAAGGGCTCTATTTCGAAACGTAGACGAAACACAACGCAAAGGTTAAAATTAACAGAATTACATTTATTGCCTAAGTTGCATCGTACAAATATCCTCTATGCGATAAAAATACAGTCTTGCTGCGAATTTTTTCAGGTATCCCGTATCCTGAACGTTCGACAGAACATACGGTAGCTAATAGTACTTGGTATCGTCGATCTGTCGTTGATACTCTTCGTCGTCAGGGTTCGCGTCGCAGCTGTTGTCGTTGTTTGGCGGTCTCACCCCGTTATATCTGTAATTTCATTTATCTAAGTAAAAATTCATCTTTTCATGTTATCAATCGAAAATGAAATATTATTTATTGCGAACAATGTAATGGACAATCGTAGGTCTAATCGATCGATTGATCGATTGACAATATGCGATTCTTCGCCACATAACGAATTCTTGTTTATTCAAGATTCGATTCAATAAAGAGGTGAAGGGTTAGTCGTTTAACACGATCAGGACGATATGACCACATTATTTAATAATATTCTATCAAAAAAGTATTAATAATTACCAGGTGAAAAGGTTAGAAACTGAAAAATGAAGTATTAACGATAATAAACACTTGGATAAAATATAACAAACGTTTCGTGAATTCTACTCTCATCCTGAACTTGTTAATACAATTTCCCTTTGCTCTAGAGAGTACAAGACCTGGAAAAAACACCCTTGCAGAGCCTCCACGGCAGCACGTCGATTCTCTCGTGCAATATGGCCGATATCTCTGGACTAACGAAGTTCGGAGTACCGGCACCGGAACCACGGGTCAAGAGTTTCCTCCTCTGGTCGTAACAGCAATGCTGAGCGGCCGCGCTTCCGCTTCCCTGCATCAGCAACGAACGTACGCAGTAAGTGGCTCCCGGTTTGTAGACGTCGAGCCTTTGTGAATCGCCGCTCACGTCCCGCCACCTAAAATACCTCTTCTGCCTCTCGTCCCAAATTTTGTCGTCGTAAAAGATATTACTCGGATATTGGCATGGGCAGGCAGGCAACGAAGTTAGTCCACCTGCAGATCGACCAGTTCGTAGAACAAAGGTAGCGTTTATGACCATTACGAACACTGTAAAATCCCTCTGATGTATACCTAAGAAAACATGCTCGAGCTTATCCCTACTGTTCAACCATTTTTGACAGGGATCCTCGTTCGTCGTGTTCACGAAATTCAACTCCTTGAAGATGTCCTGACTGCCTATTGCGGAAGCGTTCCGTAGACTTTGGAACAATCTGCTCAGCAGGACGCTTAAACCTTCGTGAATCGCCACTTGATCGTCTATAGCCGAGTAAATGGTAGAAGGTTGAATTTCATCCGTATAATCCGTATTGTCACCGATTTTCTCCTTCTTCAAACGAGTTTTCGTACTAGGTAACACGTCTACGTTCTCGAGCTCGATCTCACCGGAAGAAGCACCATCGTCGTATGAATCTAGCAGCTCTAAATCGTCGTTGGAAGAGGTGTTCCTCTGTGCAAGAATAAAACTTCTGTCTTTTTCTTCCTCGGTGTCGGTAACATCGTAATCCTCCGTTTTACCTTCATTGTACGACTCCTACGCAATAGGAAAATAGCAAATAGGCTTGTGTTTAGTCTTGCCTTTATTGAAGAGCTACGTTACCGATAATAGTATTCACCTGCACGCGACTTTTCACTCCTGATCTATCTCGTAACCCTTCCTCGATCTCTGAAACCGTATTAATCGAGTCTCGATCTTTCTTCGACGACTCGAGGACACGCGAATCACTACGAAAGCACGAGGATCGATTTCTACAGCGACGTCTCTTCCGGTGTTTAGCGTGTCTCGTTGGAATAGCCTCTTCTTCCTCAATCTTATCATCTCGTTCGCGCCTGATTAACGTAGCGGTCTTCCAAGAGGGATGAAACAATGTCAAAGTGAATTTTTGTTTCACGATTTCTCGTAAATCTCCACTGGTTCCCACCTGTTCGAACATGCAGGTTGATCGATCATTCGTGGAAGAAGATAGAAAGGAGTAGATTGAAGGTAGTGGGGTGATTCGGTCGTTTATGGGGAGAGGAGGGCGATGGTAGTCGGCAAGAGATCAAAAGAGGCCGTGTTTGGCTCATGGATGAGATAGGAGGAGGGAAAAGGGACGCGACGATACACGTTGGAATGGAACGAAGCGGACAGAACGTTTCTACTTCTTGGAAGCATGCGTTGCGAGATCGTTTCCCATTCAATGGCGTAGCAGCCAATTTGCACGCGGACAAAAGTATCAGTTTCCCGCGTTTTTCAACCACAGTTCTTTCATCCCATTAGCAACGAAACCGATTAAAAGTTAGATGCAAGGATACTTACTTGACGATCCTCAGCATGAACAGTAGAAGCGATTAACATCGATTGAAAGACGAGTATCCAGTAAAGGAAAACCAAGGCTCTCATGTTTATCATCGACGGTTCGTCATAATGTCTCTCCTTACATCACGATATTCCTTTTAATTAACGAAATCGGTACACTTCTTCGACGTTTCATCCTTTCAGCATACCTTCTTCCAGTTTCTTCTTTAATAACAATACTCGTGTGATTTACAGGTGCAAGGACGTGGTGTCGTCGTCGGCCTCTCTGTTTACGAACGTTCCAGCCCAGTCAGAGACGATCGACAGGGTCGATCTTCGTGGCGAGGACGCATAGAAAGAGAGATAACCGCTTTTGAAAGGACGCGGGCTGGCGAAAAAGGCGATGAATCGGGAGAAAGAAGTGTGGCGGTTTACGGAAAAGAAGAAAAAGAAGAAGAAGAAGAAGAAACCACTATGCGTATATACACGAGGCACATGAGTCGCGCACCGTTCAAAGGCCTACCACTATATGTATAGTTGTGAACTCGTCAAGTTCTGTGTGCCACTACGTATAATGGCTACAACCGGCGGTAGAGAGAGTGTAGAGGCTGCGGAGAGGTAGCGCGCCGGATGACAGAACCTACGTCATTGTACTGGCGGTAGTATACAGTTCACGGCTTAGGGTTTCTTACTTAGCGGCGGCCTCGGGCCCTATCGTTTTTCTCTTTTGTTTTTACACCGTTCCACCGTACTCTTCCTCTTTTCATTTTGTTCCGCCGTTTGCTGTAACCTCCCTCCTCCCTGTTATACCCTTTCACGAATCGACGTCTTTAACCCTTTCGATGGCTACGCTTCCGTGACTGGTTTCCCCGTTGTTTCGTTGTTTAGATTCAGCAAAATGAGAAAGTAGAAGCACGTACGTTTTTCCATGTATGTACTCCTGTTTTTAGCTTTTCTTTTGTACGGCAGTAATTTTCTGATAAGGGCTTGTTATTTCTTCAGGGGGTAAGAAGAGGTGTAATTATGTAAAGGAGAGAGAATAAGTCGGTGTGCTTCCACTCGACACGTATTACGATACCAGGGATCTAAATACAGCATTGGAATGCAATGGAACGCGTTCCGGCTATTTTTAGGCGGGTAGATTTGAAAATACACCCACCGTGGATTAAATATAACTGGAGATGCACGCGCACGGAATGCAGTATGATGGCACGCGAACGATCGGTCGCCACGTCGCAAATATGCAAATCCTCCTCGTATCGAAAGCGCGACCGCTGCTCCCTTTTATCATACGAATCGTCTTATTTACCGTTCCTGTATTTTTTCTCTTTTTTTCCATTTTTTCTTTTTCATTACCATCACGACGATATCTATTGAGCGTGATTGTTCACGTGTAGAAAACGACAGGAAGTAAGTAGCCTAGGGAAAGCGTCTAGATGAAGAAGCGAAAATTATTTCTCAAATAAATTGGCCTGGTAGGAGACGTGGGTGGAAATTTATGCGCGTGCAACGATTCCCAACGGGGGCTAACAAGAAAACAGGAAGACGGTCAATTGAGATCGTCTAATCGTTTGTAATTTCGCTCTATTCTTCGGTCTGCTCCACGCAGATTCTGATCTGCTTGCAGGAAACACAGCGGTATATCATAATCCTGAATCGATCCACTGTGGCTCGTGTTCTATACACCACACTGTGTGGATTCCAACGGGGTCGTTAAACTAATCTGTTTACGTTCCCGGCCGCTGCTGCGTGATCCAGCAATGAAATTAAAACGAGGACCGTGGAACGTCATCATGATCGTGTTACGAACAGAGATAGAGAGAAAGAGAGATACAGTGTGCACAAAAAGTATTCGCATAGTTCGATGTGTATTTCAGGTAAGACAAGTTGACGTTGAGCTTAGAATTTTTAGATGAATCAATGCTATTTATATTGCTGAAAATAATAAACGATAATTGTCAATTTCTCTAGGTGAGATGAAAAACGTCACTGTGGACAATTAAAAGGAGAGTAAAAAATCGACGTATTTCGGATTTAAATGTCAAGTTAAAAGTACACGATGTAACGGACGTTACTTTTGTTACACACTGTAGTAGTAAGTATTTAAGGGTGAAATCATAAAAGTGTCGACGACGGAGAAGAAATTCGGAGCAGAGGATGATGGGATCCTCTCGGACTCCGGTTCCGATTCAGCTTTGTTTATTTACTTGTAGATCGTCGAGCGGCACCGATAGCGGGTGCAAAAAAATGGGCAAAAGTGTGGGCATTTAACACCGGTAGCAGTTGACATTCCGCGACTGCCTTTCTGCATCCTGCGGCGCCAAAGTCATCGTCTCCTGCACGAATACCATTACCTTCATTTTATTGGCTCATTCGTAAAATTTACGCCTCGATTTCGCCGCTCAAGTTGTCTCTCCTACCACAAAAACCGCTTTCGCTACGATCTCGTCGAGCCTCGCGCGACTTGATTCGCTCGTCCGGCTTCGTTTTAACACGACGAAGGAGGAGCGGAGACACGTGGTTTATTAAAATAAGTAATTTTCATGTGTATCAGGATGGAAGCTGGACGATACACCTCTCCAAATATAGAACTCCTACGAGGCCCGCGCGAAATTTCGTTCGACCGTGACGAGAAAAAGGGATGGAGAGAAAGAGAGGTTAGGTATAAACGCGATGGGAAATACATACGTGACGATAGCATAAAAATACTCCTTTTATTTTTAGTTGTAATTAAAATATAAATAACTCTAACATTCATTTACGATACAGGTAGTATATACAATGCTCGAGCCTGCTAAACTCTTTCTACGTGTGATTAGAATAATAATTTAAACGACACGATACAGGATACGATATAGACACGTGCTAATCATTGATTACGTATGATTCTACGCGAATTTAGGAATGTTCTTATGTACAATTGAAACGGGGGAGGGGGGGGGGGAGAAGGGGG